ATAAACATTAACAGAAAATAACTAATCAAAAGTTATTTAGTTACACCAAAGAAGAATCGACTTTACTGACAAGTGGCGTGGAAAATATGATTTATTGAATTTCGAGCAGGAAGAGGGAAACAACGCGAAATCAGAAATACTTATCTGTTACTAATAAAGTTTCTGTTGAAAATATAGCCAATAATGTAATGCTTAAGCATTTCTTCGAAGTGAGAATAGTATGACTTACAATGTTATAATCCACTTCTTGTAATGACAAAATTTGAGATAAATTTTAAAATTTGACTGGAATAGATAGAAAAAGCTGACTCTTGTTCATAGTTATCTATCCCAATATCCCGATAGCATCTCATGAGTTAACAAATTTTGAAGTATTCACAGAAGTGTAAACAAGATTTTTTCAAAATCATTACCTAAGCTGTCAAGGGCCATGCCATGATCCTCTATCTGACACGACAACTTGGGACCTTCTCGCATTCGATGATATGTTCTTCATCCTCCAGAGGTGTGTTGATGTCCACTCTGTTTTCCACATTTGCATGTGAAGTAGAACTCCATGATCATTTGGAACGGAGAAAAGAAAATGTGATCGTATAACAAATCACCATACCCATAAAAAGAAAAAATGAATATTCGACAAAAAAACCAACAATTTATACATCAAACACATAGTAACATACTTTTTTGAAGAGTTTGATCGCCAATTGATAAGAGATGATCACGAGATAGCAAGAAAGTGGTTTAAGAAGCATTGTCAGTCATCCAAAAACAATATAAGAACATATATATTACCATAGACACCGACTGAATTTCACGTGCCAATCACGGTAAAATTTTCACATATCACACACAAACTTAGCGTGTTTTCCTTCGGATTGCTTTAGTTCTTCAAGATCAGCATCTAAAAGCAGGGAAGCATACTCTTATTTTAGAGGTGAACAAAATTATTAAAGGTCCAAAATATAGAAGCATTCGACATATTTAAGCAGTGAACATTCACCTTTCAATTGGACTTGTGTTGTAATGTTGATGCCTACAACATCAATATTTGCCCCCCACGTAAACACAACATCAGCAGCCTCAGGGTCCCCATATATATGCTTCGTCAGCAAACTAAGCAAATGAGTAAACAGTCACGTAAACACAACATCAGCAACCTCAGGGTCCCCATATATATGCTTTGTCAGCAAACTAAGCAAATGAGTAAACAGTAACAAA